GTGGCCCACCACTACCACACGATCAACCACTACCACACGACGGGCATAGGAACCGAAGCGCCATGGCACGCGGGCGGCTTCCCACCTCCCCGGGCGGCTTCCCGCCTCCCCGGGCCAGGCCTGGGGAGACCAAAAATGAAATCTCCGCTGGAAGACCAACCGACCCCCCGAGCGGATCGAATCGCTCGAGGAAGCGCCAAGGCATAGGTAGGAAGCGGAGGGATGCCCCATAGGGCCATGCCGACTCTGTCCCGAGCGACGAGCATGGGTCCTGGTTGGACGTCTCCGACTGAAGCTCTCCGAGCTCCGTTACTCCAGTCACCAAGGTAAACACTATCAAAACCCCCTATGTTTCTTTAAAACATTCATACATCCATACGCGCATTCATTCCATATGCCTGAACCCCCCGGACAGTTAGGGCATGAACCGCCCGGGGGCTCGGGAACTAAAGCATCACAAGTGCAGCGAAATGTATCAGAACGCTCCGTGTTACGTCACGAAGCGGGGTTGCCTCATTCGACATGGGCAACCAACAGAGCCAGGGGAGAAAACCGTAGATGAGCACCGTGTGGCCCTCGCTCGGTCCAGCAGACTGGGTCATCTCAACCTTCTCATTCGATCCTGAACCTCTCGCCAGGCCCACAGAATCTCCATCAAAGGGGAGGCCGTTAGGCCACCCGGGTCGGTCTCTGGAACGACCTAGGCATCCATCGGGTTGCAGGTAAAGGAGTAGTGGAATGTCACAAGAGGGTTATGCCGACTCCGTCACGAATGACGGACTCGGATTCTACTCGATCACACCCGTTAGCGAACTCACCGAGCTAGTCTTAGAGCCCGAACGATCGGGACAGGCGATGAAACTCAGCCCCTCCGGTCGTGAGGAACCAAGGATGGGGTAACGCACAATACTCACATCGACCCCAACGAAGGCCCAATAGGGCTCGGTCACCCTGGGCATTCGGTCAGACCGAACCGATCGGTTCGGTTCCTTGGTCATTTGGTCAGTTCGGTCATCAGAAACCTGGGACCGATCGGTCTTTGCAAAAAATGAAGACCGAGGAAGTTCGGTCTCGGTTAGTTTAGTTCGGTCTCGGTCACGACCGAACTAACTGGACCTGAGTAGCAGCCACAAACAATAGCAGAATGTATAGCAATTTTCAATAGCATGCTTGCTATTTGAAGGCAAAAAAATAAGAACACAATATATAAAACAAACCACACATTATTATGACAAGTTCTAGCACACAATTTTCTCAGTTCTCACAAATCACAATCACACATAATGACATTATGAACGAAGTCTATAGAACTACGGTCAGTTCGGTCACTTCGGTTAACCGACACATATGACCGAACTTCTATCGGTTACTTCGGTTAGTTGGGAGCCAGGACCGAACTCATGACTGAACTTTTCGGTCTCGGTCTTTTTGGTTCGGTCTTTAGTCTTCGGTTAATTATGCCCAGAGTTAGGGCTCGGGGGCTCATGAAAAACGCCAAAGGACGGTGACCTCGAGCTCGCCAGATCCACGACTCCGACTCGCCCGATCCCGCGACGCGCACCGACGCCAAGGTACGCGAGCATCGCCTCGTCCGATCTTTAACCAACTAACTACGCTTTGGCTTCAGACAGTTTCACTGCGCTCCAAAAAAACCTTGGGACCGTGACCCCGAATTCACATCAACATGATCTTTAGACATCCGGCTACGGTTCTTGGGACCGCGACCCCAAATTCACGTCGACAGGATCTTTGACATCCGGCTACGGCTCCTGGGACCGCGACTCCTAAACTTGCGTAACGGCTTCAGACGGCTTCACTGCGCTCCAACAAGACCTGGGACCGTGACTCCTAAACTCACGTAACGGCTTCACTCAGGGTCCACGCGCTTCGGCTCGTTCGATTCCTGAACTAACTAAACTAACTCCCGTGATCCATGGCACGCGCCGACGCCTAGGTCCGTTCACGGTACTACCTCGCTCGATCCCATGGCGCGCAGCGACGCCTAAGATCTATAAGCTCTGACACGACCGAGCCATCACCGTCTGTGGCACGCACCGACGCCAGCGGTTTCTTCGAACTAACCTTCTCACCCATTCAACGGCACACACCGACGCCGAGATCAAAAAGATTTGCCTCAAACCCTGCACCTAAAAAACGCCTCGGCTACGCAAATGACACCTTAATTAAACAAAACATCTCAAAACTAAACATACACACACGCCCGCTAAGATGACACCCCCCAGCCGGTTCAACCCGAACCGCCCGGGCTCGAGAAACTACACCGTGCTGGTGCACTCGCGCACTGCGAGCACAACAATGCGGAAAACCCCAAAGCCGGTTACGCCCAAACCGCCTGGGGGCTACGGGGTCTAAGTGCAGGCTTCATGCACCACCGGCAACAAGAAAAAATCCCGGACGATTAAGCTCAAATCACCCGGGGGCTCGGGGGCTCCTGTCGGGTTCATAAACCCGGGGTACCTAGGCGACTGGCTTCGACGCCCGGGCTCGGCCCAGGAGAACAACCTATAGCTCATGGGCCGGCCAAAAAAAGTCTAAAAAACAACGGGCCGGAGGGACAGACCGGTCGCCGACCAGAAGGTCCACCGAAAGGACGAATGCCCGCTCGACAACTTCTTCGGCCCACCTCTCCGACCGAGAGCGCTCGCCTCAGACGCCGGCCGCCTCCGGGCGGACTCTTCGACCGAAAGGCCTGGCCCAAAACGCTGCTTTCTACTCCGACCCCGTGTCTCCGACCGGAGACTCAGAGGGAAGCTTGCTCGCAGCTCTTCTCCGTGGCATGGCGATCTGGCTGGAGCCATCCGACCGGGGATTCCCGCTCGGAAGGGACCAGGGGCGAACGGAGAAAGCAGCGCACAAAGTCAAAACACGGTACCAGGACCATACCCTGCACGTCTGCGGGAACAGTGCTCCACAACCGATCTGACACAAACAGTATGGGAGGTACCCACATTTGTGACTACAGTATTGTAGACGCCGACATTTATGTCTACAGTATTGTAGGCGTCGTTGGGGCTCTCATATGGCAAAAAGGCCCCCACATGCCTCTGGGCATCGATAGTGGGCACCAGGATTCACCATGCCTGGTACACATGGTGGGGCTCCTCACATGCTAACAGCATTTCGCAGGTACCGACGTCCATCCTTTCTGAAGAAGCCAAACGCAACCCCCCATGTACACCTGACATTCTACAGCGACATCAACAGTGTTATACGTGCCAACCATCATCACTACCCTTCATTCGGCGTGGGCAACAAGACTTAGAAACATCAGTACTCTCTCCTTCTCATCTGTAAAGCCACCCCCTTTATTTATAAAAGGGGATGCGCTCCCTCCAACAAAGGAGATCGATTTTCTAGAGGTCCACTTCTTTAAGCTCAGGCTCACTAGATCGATAGCTCAGAAATCCCTCAAGCACACGCTTGAACACATAGCTCATAGCGGAGTTCCGGTCGCCCTCGGCTTTTCTGGTCGGACCCGACCGGGCCTCTCGTACACCCCTCATTTCTCCTTCTCGTTTGTAACCTCACTATAGACTTCGAGCACCTGGGCTCAGGAATAAAGTCACCAACAGACCCACACTGGACGTAGGGCACGTTGCCCGAACCAATCTAAATCATGTGTCATTGAGTGTTAGACCACCTCCGATCACGACGTACAGCAAAACTATAAATATTCACTAATTGGTCATTTTCTGTACCGACACAAAAACATGAGCTCAAAAAATGACTTTGATTATAGAGAACTTATCTTTGGCTGAACTAACTATCGGCTTCAATAAATTACCATCAATATCTGAAACGCCTGGTGACATTCGGATTAACTGTTTACTGGAGGCAAAATCGGAAAGCTTCATCTAACAGAACAAAGTACAAGTACTACGAGGCTCTCAGTATATAATATAATGGTGCTCTAGCTTGCTTATCCCCTCTTGATGTGCGATAGACCATTTATTTATGGTCGATGCAGGCTACACTGCTACAGCAGTCCCTATCAAAGATGGGCGACAGCAGTCCCTATCAAAGATGGGCGCGCAAAGCCGCGCCGGTCTTTCTACGCCCTGTTCATTCAGGCCGGTTTGGCTTATAAGGACACGTTTGGTTGAGTCGTGGCTGTAGAAAAACTATTGTAAGTTATGAGTTATGGGAAAACTGTTGTAGGCTATGAGCTATAGAGAAGCTGATAGCTATTTAGTTAAACAAGTATAAAATATACCTTCTATTTTTATCTCTCTCGAAATAAATATAGAAGAGCTTTTTATTTCACCAATTTCGAAAAGTAGAAACCCAAAGTCAAAAGTAGGATCAAACCAGTTTTCAAAAATGTACTACGGAAAAGCATCTGCTCCTGAAAAAGCAGCCTCTAAAAGCAGCTCTTCTTTGGTTGGGCTTGTGGCTTTTGGGACCAAAAGCCAAAGCCAAAAGCCTAACTAAATGGACCCTAAGTCATATCTAAAAGTACTGTTGGCTGATTTAATGTGAGAGAAAAATACTGTTCGTTGACTAATAAATCATATCTTATAAACCAAATACGACCAAATGTCCATAGCATAGGATGCCACTAGACGATGGCTAGCTGTTGACTTCCTTTCTATGTAACGATTTTTGTCGCGTTCGTTTAGCTGTTAAGGCATGATTAAAAGTAATATTAGTTAATTTGATATAAAAGAAAAATATTATTTATAAAAAAAAGTACGCTCGTAAGCCGAGCGAACCGGGCGCTTCAATTCAACACTACTGTGGTCCATAGCATAGCGAGGGAGAGCGACAGTCTGTGCGGCCGCACTTCCTGTGGCAAAGCGGGAAACGACCGGACACGCTCTGCCCGTGCCAGGATATGTTCACGCACAGCTGCTGCGCTTCCACGTCCAACGCGTCCTTCCGAACGGGCTTTTCTGTAGGATTGGTCGCTTGGGGTCTGTGCTGTGGACACGGGGAAAGCGAAACGCGAGCTCTGCTCGTCCGTCCATGGACCATGGGCCATGCCACTGTTTGTCGTCGAGCTGGTGGGGCCAAGCCCCCCGGACTCGAGGGCCCCCCCAGCCGCGGCAGGTAGCCCGGGATCGAAACGCCTTCAGCTCGGCGCCCCAACCCCTGTCGCTGTCGCTGTCGCTGTCGCTGTGAGAAGTGAGAACAACGGGCTCTAGCGCGGTGCGCGTGTCTGCGTCAACACCGGGGCACGCGTGTCTGCTGGGCCCCTATGTGAGTAGTAATTGTCAAGCCGTAGCATCAGCATTTGTCTTTTTTTCTTCTTTTGTGCACCGTTATCTTTTTTCAGGATCTCGTGTTGTCAACTTTGGGAGCCTGACCAAAAGTAGGAAAAAAAAGCAGTACATATGTAGTAGGAGTACACGCACGTCGCAAGCACTCAGCGCGGGGGCAGTCACTGTGACCACCACCTGGCACTCCATGAATCTCTCTCTATTTTATACGGAGCGGCTACAAATTTAGGATCCTATACGATCGTTTCCTCCAGCCGAACGTGCTGTAGATCTGCCATCCTGGTGAATTCCACTGCCGATGAATAGTGCCCTCCCGTTTCCTACACTCAGATCACTGCTCATCCACAGCCTTCCTCGCCTGACCGTCCGATCAGCCGTCCAGCCGCGTGATGCCTGCCACCATCGAGCGCGCGCCCCAATAGCCCTATCCACGCGTCCGCATCGCCCACCAAAAAGTACCACCCCCAACGAAAGAAAAGAAACCTGCCTCGAGCCTCCTCCGCCCACTGTGCGACGCCGGAACGCCGCCCCGCCTGCGCCCTCCGCTTGCCGACCGGCGCGGCCAGGCCTCGCAGGGCGCCGCTGCGCCCTGCCTCGGTGCTGCCGCCGGGCCGCTCCCTTCCTTCCTCTTTGTTCTGCCATGACTGCGGTCTCCGCCTCCCTTCTTCGTTGCAGCGAGCAAGGTCGCCTCTCCTTCTCCCGCTCCCCTTCCTGCGGGGATCTGCCCTCCTCTCTCCTCTTCCTTGCAGCGAGCAAGGTCACCTTGACGGCTGCGTGCGTGCCCAGGTGGGAAAAAAACTACTCCTCTTTTGATTGTTTGCGCAGGTCTGTATGCCTATCGCCTTCAACGTTGTCTCACGCTGCGCCCCCCAAAAATCCAGGTATTCTTGGTGGACAACAGCCAATCTTGGCCTAGACGTGTTTCAGTGTTCTCCGATCCCACTAGCTTAGTTGCGCAAATTTTACTTCCCAAGTTATTCTAAACTAAATCCTGACCTACACTGCTAACATAGCGCAATGTAATCATATTTGTTATGGAATCGTCCTATTTCCACCCTGGTTATTTCAGATAGTTTCCTCACAACAAAACAACTTCAGCCGGCTTATCAGTCCTGCTCGTTAGTCCTAATTCGGTGTCAACATGTTTGTCAGTGCTTTGTGTTTCTAAGTATTAGCAACCGCTAAACTCATTTATCTACTGCTTGCGGTTGATTCACATTCTTACTGTTCTGCCTCAGCTCTGGACCATTGCATTGGGGCCTTATAATGCAGCTCCGGACCCATACGGTGTCTCCACTCTGAAATTATCATGGGATATTACAGCAAAGGTTTGTTCCTTCTCGTTTCTCAGGGTTGGTGTTGTACTTTTGAATTTGACCATCTTATTTTTTAGTGACCAAAATGATTGTGATTTATCAATGAATTGCTTTGCTACAGAATGTTTCTGTCAAATTGGAAAATGACGAGACATTAGAGCCACAGACTAATTTGTTAGGGTTATAAAAACAATCTGCATTTCAATTACCATGTGATTTTCCCATTAGCAAACATGATGACTCGAGCACTAATTTGTTTCTAACATGTCAAAACATAAATATTACCTGCTTTCCTGGATGAATGTACTGATGCAATTTTCAAATGCTCAATCTGAACATAAAATTCTCCATATGAACATGGCAAAATATATTTCCTTTCCACCACTGAATTTTGGTCCATCTCTGCATCTTCGAAAGCTGACGATTTGGAATAATGAAGATGCTGATCCACAATGAAGTTGATTGAAAATTTGAACTGCTGGCGTCTTACAATCTGTTTTCTGTTGTTGATTAAATCTGTGTTTCGTCCATGAAAGAGCCACGCTACATATGCCCTAATGCGTAATTTGGATTGGTATAAATTTTTTCTATTGCTACATTAATTATATTAATCTGTAACGACAAACATATTTTCCCTGCATAGTTGTTTACTCATATTTTTCCACATATATCAGACCTCTGTTTGCAGTTCGTCTAACTTTCTATTATGAGACCAGTGTTTCCCTCCTGTTTTTAGACATGCAAAGACCTTTCCTGCTGACATGTTCCTTTTAAGTTATCATCTCAGGACTACGGTGTACTTAATGCAAACCATACTATTTTCTATACCTATAGTTTTCATATTGAACATCATTAGATGTACCTTAATTGTTGGCTTTGTAAATGTTATGACTGATCGAATGGCATAAAAAATCCATGTAATTGTGTTGGTCAGTGGGTTTTTTTTATCCTGAACCTGGCTTCCTCATTTTTCTCAATAGGCAGGGGTGATGGTTCTCAATGCCTTACCATCCGGCACACCTACTGCACCGTCAATGACAATGATTATTTAAGACCTTTCGATTTATTCAGATTTTTTTACATGGCCCTGCCCAAGGTATGCACAATTGTTAGCCAAGCCCTATATTTCCCTCGATGTTTCTACACATGAAAAGACATTACCTGCCAATATGTTCCTTTAAGTTACTATTTTAGGGTTATGATGTGCTGAATATGCAAACCATAAATCTTGCTTGACTCAACGATGTTTTTATTCATCTCTTATCACTTCGTGGAAGACTTGGTTTCCTGCTGCATGTCAACACGCTGAGTCCATTACGCTGCTAAATCCATTGCTATATATTGCCGCTACAGCTTTCCGTACCTAACCATGGTAGTATACGACTATACGCCTTTAGAGCATTGTCCACAACGAATAAGATCATTGAGCAAATCGATTCTTCATACCCATATAGCCAGTTGCCTAAAATTGGCTATCTGCTTGTAATAATTAATTAATTAATTTGTTTGCTACATGCATTGTAGGCACTGTTCCACAAATGAGGACATACGCAACTAATGTACTCAGATTGGCCAGATCTTCTCACTACCCTCAATTTTCGTTACCATCAGTCACCCCTAATTTGTTATACTCTAATTCAGGTCTTACCGTGTCAGGTTCAGTCCAGTGTCTGCTGTCCTCATAGTGTCTGCTATCCTCATGTAACAATTCAGGTCTTTGGCCCATGGCGAAATGAGTCTCCAGATCCAACTGAACCATCCCTGTACTATGGTAACATTATCCTATGAATGGCTCAAATAACATGCTATCTGTAACTAATTTTACTAATCTTTTTGTTCCATGTATAATCATATGATGTATTATAATTCTGGCTTGCTGGCCCGTGCGAAGCACGGGGGTACCTGCTAGTGAATTTATGAAACTGAGTTCGTGACTTCGTGTACCAGCCTGAAGCAGCCCACGAGACACATTTCAGTCACACACCCACGCGATACGTTCACCGCCTACCACCAGCTCATACCCAACACCGGCCCACTACCCTTTCGGCCCAATCGAACATGGGGCCATTCTTTTCTATCCGCATCCTCCTATTCTTTTCCTTGCTTCCCTGAACATGCATTTGTTCCCTATGAGAAATGAACCTTGTCCAGCTGCATTGGACGCGTGTGCGAGAAAGATGAATGATTCCAATTTTTTTGCACCCACCACAGCCATATGTGATATGTAGAGCTCGGTTTCACGAGTGCGAAAATGGTGTGGACCTTCAATTCAATTATTTCTTCCAATTTCCCGTGCTCCAGCTGACTAGAGGGCTATTCTTTAAACGTTAGCTAGAAACATTTTCTTTAATATACCAAGAGAAAACATCCCAAAGAATTGAATCTCCTAGGAATGACATGTTAGTCAAGAGCACCTCGACAACTAAGTGTGGTGAAGTGTGAGAAGGATTTTTTTTTTAAAGGAAGGATTTTGTTAATTTACAATTGTTACATCAAGTTGATACAATCCCGACCTTTGTATAAAAGCACACAGTCTAAACAAAACAAAAGAGAGATGAGTTAGGAATCAAAAGAGAAGGAGCGCGAGGTTTGCTGCAGGAAGAGATGGTGGACTCCGGTGACTATCTGTCGTCATCGCGTTCAGAGGAACACAGGCACAGGAGACGGTGGGCAGAAATGGATGGGCCAGATGGAAGAGAGGCAACGGGCCATGGAAGTGAAAACAGCCCATGGTGTATGTGTTACGGTTTTCCATTACAGATTCTTAAACTTGGACCTGTGAGACCTATGTTCGAATGTGTTTAAAAAAAATTCTAGCAAACTCACCAAACACGACCTTAGGACATGCATATAGGGTATCTGTTTACCTTTTAAATGTTTGGGCAGGCCTATTTTCACAAAATATTAAGTATGATGCTATGAATAAAATAATATACCCTGATTATTTAATACAAATTTGTCCCAAAATATTCAGAATTTTTTTATAGATATTATAAGGGTTTAAAAATATAACCCCTAGGCTTGCACTAGTGGTAACTATTTTTTCTTAGAAACTACTACTGTTTTGAGATGTTTCCCAGTAGAATAGGGCCCTACAAGTTCTAGTCTTAGTTCCATGGTCTGTTTAAAGAAAATGGTCTGTTCCCTATGCATGGTTTGTTTTGGTAGGATAAATTCCATGGCGTCACAGAGGTCATAGTCTTCTATTTTGACAAGGGTAATTGGAGTGGTGAAGCGAAGGAGCAGACATGAGGGAACTCGTGAACCTAGACTCCACCAACCGACTGCCGTGCCATAGGCGGCCGTCAAGACTCGTGAGTTTTCCTAGCTGGGGTAGTGGATTTCTTCACGTGGCTTGTAGGAAATGTGCCATTCCAGCAATTTGAAGTCGACTCGCTTCTATCCTCCAGAAGGGTGCCATGATGCCCTTTTATGCTTTGCAGGCGAAGTGGCTACATAAAATGGATGGTCCACTTTTCAGATGCTGGAGAAAAAGTGCACCAACAGCCGTGTTCGCTTGGGCTTGTTTGGCTTATAAGCCGTACTTTTTCAGCCAACAAACAATATTTTTCTCTCACACCAAATCAGCCAACAGTACTTTCAGCCATTGCTTATCAGCCAAACAAGCCCAAGCGAACAGGGAATGAGAAAAGCAAAGGATCACTCCGTGTAGCAAAGCGTTGACAAATTGACAAACAAATGAACAACTTTACACATACTGTTCCAAACAGGGATTAATTCCGTTGTCTTACTACATGATCAGCAAAAAGAAAAGAAACACTATTAATACCTCTGTAACAAATAAAATAACCTGAACTTCACACAGACAGGAACTGAACTCAACCGAACTAAGCCTAACTTCTGACTTGGCCAAAGAAAGAAAAACAGCAGGATACCTGAACTTTCAAACAAAATAGTACGTAATTCACAAAATGGAGAAAATCGTTGCTCTGTATGGCACAAGAAAACTATATTTCCGTACCAACATAGAATCCTAATACAAACACCTGATTATGGATTATAGGTACGGCAGCAACTGCATCTCCTAATAAAGCTCTCCCATTTACATATATTTAGACACCTAGTTTAGTTAACAGATGCAGGATATGAAGCAGCCAACTTAAAGGTGGGAATCAACTCGGTAAGCAACAAAGCATAACTACTTTCGTTTTCAACCAGAAGCCATATAAGTCTTAATTCACAGTTCAAAACTTGAATAATCACATCAGCAAATGCATCAGGAGCAAGGATCTGGATGTCATAAAAAAACCATATGCAGCATGTAACGACCAACACTTAAGTGCAGCTTGAAAGTAAGCAGTCTTCTACTTGCCTCAATATTCTTTTAGGCTAGCTTGTTCTATTCTGAAATCAGACACATGCTACTTTCATAATCTGCCCACATCCTCAGTGCAATACCATCTCTCAAAGCATTACCCATGTCACATTCACTGTTCAAAGCTGAAACATCGTAACCATATGTATCATCACCACTAGGAAGATTCACTGTTTTATGGGAAGCAAATGGGATTGTTTGCTCACATAACAACTCTTCATTACCTCCTTGTCTCTGAATTATGTTATGTAGAACAACTGCTGCTGAAGGAATTTTCAGTTGAGTGTCTTTTCGGTATGATGTTGCGACATTTAGAATTGGAAATCGCATCTTCAGTAGGCCTACAGCACACTTAATATGTCTGTGCAGCTGTGCATGACGAAGATTGAAAAGCTCTCTGTAGTCTATTGGTTCGAAATTGCTCTCATCTTGGTCTTCAGTATGGTAAGGGACTTCATTATAAGGAGCAAGAAAAGATGGCGTGTTCGCATAACCCCCGTCAACCAGGTAGTACTTTCCTCTTGGGACTTCAAATCCAGATTCTATAGCAGAGTATAAGACTGCTGCATCAGATGCAGACCCTTCTCGGCTACTAGAAACATAGACGAAATTCAAATCAAAATCACAAGCAAGCATCACGTTTTGGGTAAGGGATTCTTGTCTATTTCGGTATGGAGCTGCTTCGCTGTCTGATATTGTCATAGGGACATGAATTCCATCAATTGCTCCAATACAGTTCTGCGAGGGAAAATAAATCCTCAAGGTAACAGAAAAGGGTAGAAAATCCTAATGTATATGACCAAAAGTTACACTGACCTCAAGGTAAGGCCAGTAACGTGTATCAGATGATATTTTCTGGTGGGCTTGAGTTAAAGGTGTCTTGACGAATTCAGCAGTCATTGGTGTGACTGCATCAAAGCATGCCTTGATATGTCTGTGAATAGTTTCTGTACTGTACTTGAATCTGTCATTTAGTTTCTGAAAACTAGCATTTCGAGATAGCATGTAAATAAACATGCCAATTTTCTCTTCTACAGAAACACCTCTGGTATTTCTCAAAAGATCATTTGACCTCAGATAGCGCGAAAGTTCTAGGAGAATATGAGGCTCCACACGAAGTTTATCATAGCCTTGGCCTCGGTCATCTTCAAGCACTTTACAAATCCATTCAGCATCATTAAACTTTGATACTTGACTTGGAGTTTCAATTGCAGTACCATCACTAACCATCGATGTTTGATCCAGAGTTCCATTTCCAGTAGATGCTAGATATAGTGCTGGCAAGATGAATAGCATCAAGTCATCGTCTTCTTCTTCGTCCTCATACTCACTAGAGTCTTCTGGATCCATCTTCTCTAAATGTACTAGCAACGAAGAAAACCAGATTTCAATGAAGGATTGCAGGCAAAATATGCATGTTAAAAGAACAAGTGCAGTTTTGAAAAGAAAAATCAGGCTGAAATTGAAAAGAATCAGTGTTACTAGAATGCTTTCAGGGATTTCCATCATTGCTAAAGTAAGCACAGTTGTTAGAATTGCACATCGATAAAATACCGCTCTTACAGGTAATTTTCACACACAAAAAAAGTTAAAACCTCATATCTGACTTGCAGAATTTATGATACAGGGCACAAATTTAGTTTCTATGTTGAGGCATTTACCTGTGTGCCATTATAAAAGTTTGTAATTACCCATAAGCCATTAAAAAGTTTGAGCGGTCATAAGTGCCACTGGTCGGAACTTTTTTACCATCGATGCCATTCCCGTCATATTCTGTTAGTTTTCAACGGTTTGACCATCCTGACATGTGGGTCCGGCTAGTTAAAATGTCCAGAATGCCCCCATCTTGTTTATAGCCGGCAACCCTATCCTCTGCAGGCCCTCATCAGGAGCGGCAGCTGCAGAGCCCGGCGGCTCCTCTGCAGCGGGCGGCGGGCAGCCGAGTCGCGTAGGGCGGTGCTGGCGTGTGGCTTCAAGGTCGTCTTCTTCCATGGCTTCACCGGACAGCAGCTCCAGCGTCGACACCGGCTCCCATGACCGCACCCGTACCTCGCCTGGCGTGGGCGCCCGCGACTTGCGTGCCCTCGGCTCCGACGCGTGCTCTCGGCTCGGGCTCTGTTCAGAAACGCCTTTACCGTGGTCTTTGCGGGACCTCCGTGGCGCGCGGTGCCTTTTTGCCGAGAGAGGATCGGCCCGGCGTCTGCGTCGCGACGACGACACAGGCGGCGACGCACGGATGCGGCTTCATGGTGCAGCCATGATAGTTCTACAAGCGCTCCGGTGGGATGTGCGACGCCTCGGTGACGATTCGCCGTGGACACCCTTCCCTACCCCCATCGTCGACTTCCGTCGCCGCGGCGTCGTCATCAGTAGGCGCTGTCCAAGGCTTGGATCGCGTTCGTCGAGGTGGTGATGCATCGATCTCGGAGTCCGATCTTTGGAGTCGTTGGCGGGCGGCGCGCCATCTTCAAGGATGCGGAGAGCGGAGCCCCACGACCGCTTCGACGACGCGCGCGACCTCGGTCGCTTCACCGCCACGGCGCGCACATGTCGCTGATGGTGCTGCTTTCAGCCAGCGACTTCGATCTCGGCGCCATATGGATCTTTGGTTTCACGTACTCGACACTCGCAGCGGGCACCTCCTTTGTAGCGGGCAGCGCGGTGCGGTCGGTGCCCCTTCTCGCCGGCCTGTGCAGCACTAGCTGCCCTCCAGATGCGGCTTTGGTCGCCGCAGACTCGGCTCCTTTTCGTCACATAACGCGACGCGTTCGATGTTCCATGGACACTTTGGGCGTTATGGGCGAAGGAGCAGTTGCATTTTTTTTTGAATTTAAGGAGCTGTTGCATTGATGATGAAGAAGTTGACGAACGCGTCGTCTCTACGGCCGGCTTGCACAGGTGCACGTACGCCTTCCTGGTGATTGAAGAAGCTTACTGCTGCTACTTGCATATACGTGTACATACTTCTATTAGCTTGTCGCATACCTATATATACGTACATGATACACACATGCAACTTGCTAGCCTGTTTCTTGTGGCACACCTCACGTACGTAGGCGATTAGTTCATGCATCCTGCCTCATTTCTTTATAGGGCAAATACGTGAATGCTTATACATTCTGGTTACTAGCTAGCTTCTTGTATTGTTAGTCTGTGATCAACAACTCCCGCAGATAAATATAGACGACGCCACGTATAGTGGCCGCCTGTCTGGTGGGCTCTCTTTCTTAAATGAGTTTGAGCTCCATTACATATTTTGAGAAATATAATAATATATATACGCTTCGTACATGCAATGCAAGTTCCTGCTAACACTATATAAGTAAACACTAAAAAAGATTATTGTGATGTATTTTGTCCCTTAGCTACAATTTTTTGTTGTGATGTCTTATGCTAAAGTTCTATGCAGTTTTCATTTTTTATCAGGTAGTACAAGTACTCGCTTTCGGGGATGATGGGCACGACGCTCCTCGTCCAACCGAACGCTCTCCTGCTCCATCCTCAATTTGGCGCCAAAACACTCATCCAGCGAGTGGCACAGGAGGAAAATGAAATTTCATCTCGCTTCTCTAGTCTGAGGGTATTTAAGTCTTTTCGTAGCTCAGTTTAACACCGTTAGCATCTAATGTGGACAGAATGGCGTAGAGGGCAAAAAAGTTTCGACCAATGGCACCTGTGACCGCTCAAACTTTTTAATGGTTTATGGGTAATTACAAACTTTTGTAATGGCACACAGGTAAAAGCCTCTTCTATGTTCTCTCTCCCTTCCTCCCTTATTAGACATGGTTTGCACAACCCAAACCTCTTGTAAGGTATGTGAACATAGGGCATACGGCAACCCAAACCTCTTGTAAGGTATGTGAACATAGGGCATACGGCAAGGTACAGGGAGAAATCGGGACAAGGGTGCATTTCAGGGTTTCGAATAAAAGGTAAAATGCCAACAATCCTTCATAATAGTAAGCGTATTTCATACTTCGAGGGAAAAAATGTGCATTCCTTTTTTTCCCTGCCAATAAGTTAGTGCAGTCCTTAGCACAACGGCAAAAAGCATTAGCAACAACAATCTGCCATGTAACGGACATCCGACCATACAGCGGAGTGGATGTGATGCAAACTAGCAATACGGTGAGTAGCAATGAATACGCAGCAACAAACTAAAGCAAATCGGGCAATAGTTCAACCATCCCCAACCGGAAGCGGGGATTTGGTGGTTGGGAACTTGGGGATCGTGGTGAGCTACCTGAGATGGCCGACCGAAGCCGCCTTTTCCGGGAGGAAGCGAAGGCGACGAAGTGGGGACCTCACAACGAGCGTTCGCCGGAAGGAGAAGGATGGCTACGGGGAAGGCAAGAAGCCTAAGCCCACACGGCGACGGCGACGGCGACGACGGCACGGCACGGGCACGCGGCGCGCCGCCGAACCTTTGCGGCTTGCATAGTTGCATCCAAGAGACCAGACAAGATGAGGATGAATGAAGCAGCAGCAGCACTGGTCTTCTTACCAGGCCGGGTGATGGATGAAGGGAAGCGACAGAAAGCCCAATAAGATCTAGAGGTGCAGCCCACATTTGTACATGGGCCTAGTTCATTTTTGCAACCAAGTCAACGGCGATCACTGTACTGTAGCACGGCAAGTCAAACTCGCCTTTTGACACGTCGATCCCCACCCAAATCTCTCTCGGATTCTGATCTCCAGTTGCCCAATCCTTCCAATCTCCATAGGCGCCGACTAACAATGACACGCGAAATGCACGCCATCCTCGCCGGGATCCCGCAGTCCCTCCGGCCCGCGCTGCTGATCGCCTCGACGTGCGCGTTGCTCCTCCTCGCCACCGCGCTGCTCCCTCCGCGCGCCCCTCCCCCGGCGCCGCTGCTGACCACTGACGCCGCCGCCGACGCAGTCCGCCTCGACGCGTGCGTCACCCGAAGGAACGGCAACGAGGTGCTGTGGCAGCTACCGCCCCCGTCGTCGCCGCTGCGAGCCGCGTTGTTCGCGGCGCCCGGGTGCACCATCCGCGCCACCGACTTCTTCGACGCCTCCCCGGGCTGCCCGCGCTGCACGGGGCTCCCCGAGGAGCGCCGCTTCACCCGCGCCGCGCTCAGCCGCGGGTACGCCGTCCTCGCCGTCTCCAGCCGCGCCGAGTGCTGGTCCCTCGACGACGCCGGCGGCGGGGACGGGGAGGATGGCAGCGAGCTCGCTGCCGTCCAGTCCATCATCAAGTGGTGGACTACAGAGAAGTACCCTCAGCTCGCGGGCCTCCCGCTCGTCGGCATCGGCGCGTCCTCGGGCGGGTACTTCCTCTCCGCGCTCGCGGCCAGGGTTAAGTTCAGCAGCGGCGTCGTCATGATCGCGGAGGGCGTGTACGGGGCCATGGCCGAGATCCCCACCGGGTATCCGCCGGCGCTGTTCGTGCACATGCCCAAGGACACCGAGAGGGCGCAGTTGGTTGCGGACAGCATGGGCAGGCTCAGGGAGAAGCACGTCGACGTGCGGGAGATCCGGTGCGATGACTTCGCCGTGAGCGCGGAGTTCCTGGCGGGGAGGGTGCCGGGGCTGACCCGGGCCTTCGCCGACGCGCTGGTGGACGTGCTTCGCCGGAAGGGATTCGTGGATGAGAAGGGGTTCCTCAAGAAGGACGGGAGGAGAACACCGTGGAAGGAGGCGGCTGAGGTGGCCAAGGTGTTGCCTGAGGGGTTCGGTCTGGAGAGGCATGTCACCGAGGAGCTCAATGTTGCCTATGCGTACCATGAGTTCACCAGCCTGAAGAATACTGAAATTTTCCAATGGTTTGAGTCCCATATGAATCATTAGGACTGAGGCCCAACTGGCTTGCATACCATAGTGAACCGAGTAATTTGCTGATTGTTTGAAGATCAACTTTTGACCATGATCTACAATAGCGGAAAGTTAGAGCAAGACCTTGTGTAAAACTTCTGCTCACAGCTTATAGTTCACAACTTCCACTCATAGTTTCTGGTATGATTGTATTTCTCTTTACTACTTGTTAGTGCAAATTATGGAAAGCAAGAAAATGTGTTGATTACACTCATTATTGTTGTACTTGTACTATTTTTCTTTTGGAAAGCAATAAAATGTGCAAATCTGGGATTCCAGGCTTCCTTTGAACTTCCACAGATTGGCATATCATGTGATAGCGATTAATGTCTGAATCTTCAGTCTGATTTGGCTAAGTGTAGAACATATTAAAAACCTCACTATGTATGACATCTTGTATTTCAAGGGATGTATTTATTAGAAAAAACCTGGCTAATCAAATACTCGGTCACTACTCAGTAGAGCACTTCCTCTAGGACTTTCAAGGGATGTACAACATCTTGTATTGCTTGGTTCTGATAAATAGTATGAAGTAGTCCTAACCAACAACCATGCTCTATATCCTGAAATATCCTGCATATAAGTGCATTCACTCATTTCATTGTTAACTAACAATCCTTACATTCATGATTCATCTGCAAAATGTGACTTTGACGCTGAATCATCCCATGTGACTTATGGAGTAGTTAGGCCTCATACACTATGAACAAGCACCCACAGTGCATTTTTTTTCTTAAATGCTTTTAACAAATTTGTTTTTGCCTTTAATATAATTAATTTAAACATACTTCTGTACAATAATTCAGGATATACTAGAATGGCTGGTAGAGCCGTAGAGGCTTAGAGGTAGAACTGAGTTCTTCAGCATCAAATTCACCACAGGATAATTTTGAGATGTTTGCTTGAAATATTTTGCCTCTAGTAACTTGGTACTGGGTTTAATTTCAAAGACGTTTGAAGAAAACAGAGCAGCAGATTAATATATTCATTTGACATAAGGGCCTTTGCTGCTTGGTGAATTAGCTAACCGCTGTATATTTGGCTGATAGGCTGGTAATGGCTCCTGTGACCTGCCACCACTTGCAACTGACTAGTAAGACACAATCGTGATTCCCCAACTCGCATGACCGGTTAATATCTGTTAAAAAAAATGTTATTTGAAGTGATGATTATATTGTTGACTTATTAATAGGTTCATTGCTGATCTAAGCTAATTCTTTATCAGTGTATAGACAACAAAACAGTCAGTTGTCACGAAAATCTAGTATTATAAAAACTGGGGCAGGACTGTTCTTCTGATCAAACTTACTTACCCTGCTATGCTGTTCTGATTACTGTATACTTAACCGTGGTAACTAGGAAGAAGTTTCAATTCGAGCCCTGATTACAGCAAAGAGTTTACAACATCCAGCATATCTCAGACAGTGGTAGTACATGAAAAAAATATCAATATATATTAGGTGCTTATTTTACATTACAATCCAACAAATTATAGAAATTCATCAACATGTTTTAGAGGTGATATTACACTACGAACCGAAAATAGAAAACATGAAATTCATCAAGGATTAGAAACGAAGGATAACATCAATTGAAGAAAACAATTTGGGCAGGAGACAGGTCTAAGTAGTGGCATTCGTTTGCCTTGAAAGTCCCAGCCTAGGAGGAAGCAGCACCATCTAAGGTCACGGCCACCACAATGCAACCCTCCACCTGCTGGGTGGTAAAAGGAAACTTCTTGTTCACAATGGAATTGAGGTACTGAGCTGCTCCCTCACGTAGAAGAGCACCGACACCATCAGTTCTGGTGTTTCAGAGTGCATCATGGAGATTCTCAAGCTTCTTGCCAATGATCAAGCTGCAGGCAGCACCAAATGTCTTGCCAAGGGATCCAACGACTGCAATGATCATGTCCAGGTGGCTTTTCCAGTAGCTGCAATTTTGATGGCAGAACAAAGTAAACAATCATTTTAGCATATTGGCTTTGTGATAACGAATACATACAAATTTGAATGTATACTCATATGGGCTCTTACTCGCAGGACCCAACAAATCTGTGCTTCGGAATTTCTGGGACCCCATAGGAAGATGTGCTTGGGGTACTTGGTGTAAAGCAGTAAGATGGTGTCGGTGTTGTGCCATAAGACGGTGTTGGCTTGTAGCCACCTCCTGACCCTGGGAGCCACCATCTGGTAATATGATACATAATTTAGCAACTGTTATTTCCAAGGGTGCATGAGGTATTTGTTGCTACTTGCTCTGCTTGGATAATACTAATTGCTGAGAAAGCTTGCAGTTTATGTTCAACATAATTTATCTTGTATATACTATATAGCGCTAGCAATATTTGTGCAGTACAATACAACATTTGGCAATATTAAAAGGATGTATTGTTACTACTAAAAAAGGCTGATCAAATAAATATATGCTGCACAAAGGGAACAAGGTCAGAATATACAGTTCGGAGCAGAAGAATAGGTATTCTGCTCAGACAAAATGTATGAGCTGGTGACAAACCCCACCAGAACAGAACTGATCAAGAACTTTGCTGCTCATCTTTGCTCTCAACATCTACAGAGTACAGACAAGACTGAATATGTGGCTGAACTGGCCGAGAAGCTTGAATTGATGAATTGAGTTCCTTTCGGGCATATTTATATAATACGAGCAGTGATCTACAGTTCCATTGCTTATTACACTGTTAGTGGTTGGCCGTCATTAAATGATCTTGGTTTGTTCATCTTGCTGCGGTGGTGATCTGATTGCTCTCTCAACTAGCACAATAAAGAGCTTACACTGAGTATTTTAATCCAAATCCTTTTCTACAAATATTTTGCAGAAAAAGAAACTGATGATATGGTACCTTAGAGCTTCCCTAGATTTCGGACAGGCTTATATATAATTAATTGTTGGTTTGTCCTATAAGAGCGTTCAATTATTTCTTTGCTAAATGCTAACTATCAATCATTACATTAATCTGCAAAATGTGCATTAAGTCAGTTAGCGAAATTTATATGTGCCATTTGTGATAAAGCAACTTTGAACTGAATCATCCCCATGTGACTTGAGATGTTGAATAGTTAGTCCTCATGCACCATGGACAAGTATAATCACCCACAGTGCAATTTTTCTCAACTTTTATTAGCTAATGTGTTTCAGGCCTTTTTAATAATTGCATGATCATCCTTTGTTTCAAAATGGAGACTCTCAATGTTTGTTAGTTACTCTTTTTTCTCGAACACAGGAGATTTTTTTAAAAAAACTAACTCGCAGGAGATCTGCGTATCTTTGTTTTAAAGAGAGACAAAGATTGGACCCATACAACAGAACTCCTAGTATGTCATTGGAGAAATGTGAGTATAGTTACTTCATCATCCACCATGATCCACTAGACGAAACCTGTCATTAGTGCTAACCCTTTTTTTCAGTGAGATATTTAAGGCCTTTCTGTATGGAGTTTAAGACAGTGAAAATTGTAACTAGTATTTCTTTATCGATTTATAGACAGCAAAAGAGTTAGCAGTCATGAACATCTAATGAAATACTGGAGGACTGTTTTTTTTGTTCAAAGTTCAAGCTTGCTTTCCCTGCTATGCTGATCTGTCATGAGTTCTTTACAACTATCCATTACAACTAATAATGAAATACAGCAAAAGTGTTTACAACTATATATCCAGCATACCTTAGAAGTGTTGCATGAAGAACCAAAGAAACTACAAATATTTCATCAATATGTATTAGACATGATATTACATGACAATCCAACAAAATACAAGACATTCATCAACATATCTTAAGGCGATATTACATGACAGATAAAAAAAACACAGGAAAATTCATCAAGGGGAAGAAATGACGGGTAGTATCAATTGAGAGAAATAGTCTAGGCAGGAGATATCCATGTCCTAGTAGTGGTATTCATTTGCCTTCTTGAAGATCCCAGCCTGAGCAGAAGCAGCACCATCAGAGGTCACAGCCACAACAATGCAATCCTTCACCTGCTGTGTGGTGAAAGGAAACTTCTTGTTGACAATGGAGTTGAGGTAAGCAGCTGCTCCCTCACGTAGCAGGGCACCAACACCATCAGTTCTGGTGTTTGAGAGTGCATCATGCAGATTCTCAAGCTTCTTGCCCACGATCAAGCTGCAGGCAGCACCAAAAGTCTTGCCAATGTTGCCAAGGGATCCAACAACTGCAACGATCATGTCTGGGTGGTTCTTCCAGTAGCTGCAGTTTCAATACCAAAACATCAGTTTGAGAATATTTGCTTAATTGCTTTGTGATATTTGATAGTTAACATGTAATGTGGGATCTTACTCGCAGGATCCAACAAATCCATGCTTCGGAATTTCAGGGACCCCATAAGCAGGTGTACTTGGGGTGCTTGGTGTTGTGCCGTAAGATGGTGTTGGTGTTGAGCCGTATGATGGTGTTGGCGTTGGCTCGTGGCCTCCTCCTGACCCGTACGTAGGAGTTGGGGAGCCACCATCTGGTAATAAGATATAGTTCAGCAACTGTTATTTCAAGGGATGCATGAATTTGCTACCTGTTTCGCTTTGCATAACTCTGATGTTCAGAAAGCATGCTGTTTATGTTTGAGAGACTAATCTTTTGGGTAATTGCATTATCTAGCAGGTGTTGTATGCTGTGTTAGCTAAAATATTGGCATCCAGGAAGCGTGAAGTATGTACAATACAGCATTTCACAGTATTGAAAAGGTTGTACTACTGCTAAGAAAGCTGATCAGATAAATGTATGTTGGACAAAAGGAATAGAGTGGGAGCAAATTATTACAGCTGGGAGCAGAAGAGTAGGTCTTCTGCTCAGACAACTCTCCCAGGCTCCTGCATGAGCTCAGGGTGACGAGCCCCACCAGGACAGCACTGACAAGAAGAACCCTGCTGCTGCTCATCTTGCTCTCAAAAAATCGTCTACAGACAAAACTGAATATGTGGCTGAACTGGCCGAGAAGCTTGAGATGCTTGTGTTGTTGAACTCAGCTCCTTTCGGGCTCATATATATACACATGAGTGAGGGGTGTTGTAATGCACGCAAAGTTCTGGTTGGCCACCATTTAATGATCTTGGTTTGTCCAGCTTGTCGAGGCATCGCTCTCGGCTTGCACAATGAGTCCCTTACATTGTGAGTATTTTTAACACAAATATTTTTCTTCAAAATCTTGTGCCAAAAAATTGAAAGGAAACTAAAGTTGTGGTAGCTTAGATCAGCTTCTCTGGATCTTGGAAAGGCTTCTTTGGACAGCGTGTGAATTCTTCCTTGCAATCCTGAAGATTTAATTGGAATCGGCGCCTGCCACCTACTCTGGTGCACTTACTGACTTACCTATACTATACCTCGAGCTGGATCCGATGATCTTATCTCTGAATTAGAATACTGAATCTATCAAACTTATTAATGGAAACACGAGTGTGCTTCCCTGGTCCAGCTGAAACTGAGACATGAGAGATCTCATCCAACTTGAGTTTGTTCTGATACTGTGGAGCAGCTGAAGTTTTTTGTGGTCCAACTGGAATGCACAAGATTTGGACAGATTTTGTCACTAGTCTAGTACCTTTCAGAGGTGCACCTGGTAATTTGTTTCGAACCGACTTTCACTGCAGTTTTATTGCTGCATGGTCAAATATATATACTCTGCCAGAATAGTGGTGTCTAGTCCTCTGCGTTTCTGTTCATTATTCTGATTGCATCTGCCTAGCTTTTTGTTGAGTTGTGATCCAAATTCAGTTATGTACAAGATATGGCTTCAACCTCGCTCCCTTGGGTTAGCCCATCATTTCCTACCTATATGCGGGGGGGCCCCCCTGGTATGGATCGTCGCCTGTTAGGGTTTTTCATCTCTATATATACCTCCTGTAGGCCGTCGTCTTGGAATAAGAAAAGTTGTAAATCCCCGACGTTTGTAACCTTATCCGATATAGTGAAGATTTGCTGGCTGGTGCCCGTGGTTTTTCCCTTCTTCCTTGGGAGGGTTTTCCACGTTAAAATCTCATGTTTCCTGTGTTTAATCTACTATTCTTCGTCGTTTATATCGCCTATCGTTTCTAACAGCTTTTAGTGCGTATATGCCTTAGCAGTGCACTGCTGCCGCATTCATCCACCTACTCATATGCAGAACTCAGAAATGACCGCCAGTATACATGGGAACAATTTGCAAGCTCCTGCTCCTGTTCACGTGAGAACTTCAGAAACATTTGCAGTAGTTGCAGATGAAAGCATAACTGGATGAGAAGTCAAATTGATTTGACACCAGATTGCCTTGCAATCAGGGAGGGTAGCCAAGCACAAGGACGCAGCGAGGCCAGCAGCAGCTGTACTTGCGTGAAAGGTGATTGGATTGGCCCTGAGAAAGGGATTGAGATGCCATGTGATCTCTCGTGGATCTGCCGGAGCCTGACACAGAGTTTACAGGGACGGGGACAGACGGGGGTTAGCTGCTGCTGCTCTGTGGCCGCCAGTTTTGAACGGTGCAGTTCCTTCGGTGAGTGGGGTGAAGCGGTGAACGCCTGAAGGGCAGCTTATTTCAGCTGAAGTTCATGTTGGTGATCCTACGGATGGGGTGTAGTTTGTCGGTGGTAGGTGGGTCTTGTACTCCTGTTGGTTATTATGAGCCCATTTTGGTAGCTGTGGCATTCAAAGGAGGCATGTAGTGCAAGTCGTCCAAGAACTCCAACAAATAGTGATGGGTATTTGGATTTCGGTGCAAAGGAAAAAGAAGTTTTGGATTTGGATCTATGCATGGTGCACAACACTTGTATCCAAATTCGGAAAACCTATTTCAGATTACAAATAAAATTTAGAGCAATGTGCGTCGTGCAAACAAATGGAAACTAGGAAATGTAATGCTTTCCTAATTCCTTTCTACGGCCTACTCTGGCTCAAGCCCCTTTGAGCAGAATGAAGCCTCAAGCATTTGTATAGATTATTTTCCGCGTACTTTCCTTTTGGCGACTTTAGTTTATCTAGCATCCAGTTCATTCGAGCGTGATTGGTTTGTTGTATCCGGTCAGTCCAGGCTCTACGGATGCAAAAATCGTTTGATTGGTTGGCCGGACTAGGGGGCAGATCTGGCCAAGAGGGTGCAAAAGCGACTGCTAGGCCTGGCTCGCTGGATATGAAAACAATCCATGTTTCGCATGAGGGGCTCCGATCGTGCGACGCGCGCCCTATGCAAGCTGAAAAATGCCTTCAGCGAATTAGCGTGTGTTGATCTAGGCAACCAAACAACGTTTGTAGTTGGGCCAGGATAGATTAAATAGGCAACCAAACATATAGTTGGATTTGCATGCGCGCAGCTTGATCTGATGGAGGCCTTGCTCTCATGTGCGAGGCAGGTTAGGCTTGTACATGAACCAATCTCATGGACACCCGTAGTATCTTACAACGCAAAATCTAATACGCGACCTGTCCGGCCCACTGGTCCTCCCCTACCCCACCCTCATTGTCACAACCGACGTCGGAGACGGGGACCTCACCGGCGTTAGGGTCCCGGCATCACCAGCATCTCCCGCTCCGGCCCACACTCTCACTATCTTCGTCTCCATCTCCAGCGGCCTAGCTATCTGCCCTTGCGCGCATTTGTACGCGTGTCGTTCAGCGGGCACATGCACATCCCTTTGATCACAAGTACACTGCTGGCCTACACTGCCTAGGCCTAGCTATCTACTTCGTGTTCAGTACTCCAGTAGCCTGCTGTCATCCATAGTCTTGCACCTTCAACTTTTGAAGCAATGCGCGAATTTAGCATGTATGTCCTCCGATCCTCACGGAAACGTAACTCGTCCTCCTAGATGGGTTGATCAATGCACATAATTTGCAGTAGCTAATTACGTACAGGCAAAGGCAACTCTGTCCAGTCTGTGCATAAAACAAGAGAGTTCAGAAAGAAACAGGGCGTAGGAGCGAAGAAGCGGAGCACGCACGTAGCATGGCAGGCGGCGCCGGCCGAGTGACCCCAATCTCCTTGCTCCTCGCCGTCCTAATCGCAGCCACGAGCTTGCGCGTACTACTCGCCGCCGCCGCTAACACACCGGCGAGCGGCGGCGGCGGCTCGGTTCATCAGGCCGGTGGTGGCGCTAATAACCGCGGGATGTCCGCAAGCCGGTTCCTCGCCACGGCGGCGGCGGCTACGATGAGGAAGACTGGCCGCGCGTGCCGCCGTGGGTGCCCGTACCCTGGTGGCGCGTGCTCCAGTGCTGCGGCGGCTGGTGCACCGACGTGCTCGCCAGCGCGAGCAACTGCGGCGCGTGCGGGAAGCGGTGCCCGTTCGGCCGGCTGTGCTGCGGCGGGCGGTGCGTCGCGGTGGCTTACGAGCGACGCGGAGAACTCCGGCGCGCGCGGCCGGGCCTGCGCCCACGGGCTCCCGTGCACCTACGGCATGTGCGGCTACGCTTAACCGAGGAGTGTGGGCTCCAGCACATGCCCACATGCGTGACCCGAGTCCGTAAAATTCGGTGATCTACGCCTAAACGCCGCATGCATATATGGTTGAGGTACATATATACACAGCTCGTGTACCGACTGATTAGAAAGCACGCACGTACACACTCTCCGCTAGGTGCATTCTTATTTTGCAGATGCGTGCTGAGGCTCACAGAAGCGATTGAAGATCCTATATACGTATAATATATGCATTATTTCTCTCTCTGTCTCTCTTTTAGCTGTGACTTCTTATATATAATTAAATTTCTACTCGAGGGTTGTATGAACTGTAAATCGGCGTCGTAGTCGCAACTTTGTTGTTGTTCATGTCTTTACGATTTCAATCACCTTGTTTTTGTTGATGAAATGCTGGGAAAATAGTTTTGTCTAAACAATGCTGCCATTGAGTTAAATTTCACTTGACATTTTGAGTTATGAGGCTTTTTATTACCTTCACCCTTTCAGTCATGGAGCTTCTCATGAAAGACGGGGAATGAAAATCAAGCGTATCTAGTAGAAGGACAGTACTTTGCTGACGATTTTGCCTAAGAAAAAATATTAGAGAACCTCAAGTGCCTTTTCAAGGTTTGAGGGAGCTATCCGGGTGAAAACTCTATCTCCAATAACTCTTCTTGCACGTGGGACTCATTTGTCAGTGGAGAGGATATATTTTGATACTTTTCTTTATTTTCTCCTTCTACTCAGCGTGTTCCCTCGTCTCCTGACTATGTCAATGCCGGGTCTCAGATCATATTGCCACCACCCGCGCCAACGTGCCTCCCCCACTCCCTGCAAGCGCATCTCCACCCCCCTCTCCATCGGCGTGCCTCCCACAGCCCTACCCTGTCCGCCGTGCTTTGTCTCCTCTCTCCTCTCATTGGCGCGGCTCCCCTAGCACCTCATCGGCAGGCCTCCCTTCGCTAGCGCATGCCTCCTAGAGTCCTAGTCCTCTCCCCCTCAATAGACGCCCCTTCTCTCCTCCGCAAGCTTGGCACCGACAATCTCTTCAATCCCTGTGGAGAATGATTTAATTCAAACTAGCTCTTGGCGTTTAGTGCCTATACGTGCGAGGAGAAAAATTGAGAGTTGGGAGTCAACAAAACGCTGGCTAGCACACCCTTTCGATGACAAGTACACTATACTGAGCAGCTTCGTGCTTAGTACTCAGTAGGGTGCTGTCGTCATAGTCTTGCACCTTGAAACTTTTGAAGCAACGCGCGAATTTAGCATGTATGTCCTTCAATCCTCAAGGAAACGTAACCCGTTCCCCTAGATTGCACTACGTAGAAAACGATTTTTTAGCAACGGTTCGATTTTTTTTTTGTAGGGGCGGCTGGTGATGGAGCCGCCCCTACAGTGGCGTGCTAGGGTGCCTAGACACCAGCCGCCCCTATAAACGGAACAGTAGGGGCGGTTGATGTTATGAGCCGCCCCTACAAATGGGGTCTGATTTATAGGGGCGGCTCAATCATC